CAGGGGTGGACTGACAACTTATGGGGCCCCCGGGCAATAAGGGATCATGGGGCCCCTGTGTCCTCGCCCACACCCAAAAAAGCCTATGAAAAAGCCAATGAAAGGTACCAGGGGCATCTCATGGGGCCCCCTACTGACCACAGACCCTTGGGCAGTGCCTGAGTGCTCAAATGGTCAGTCTGCCCCTGGCCTGAACTCATCCCTAATCTACAGGTTCATTCCCCAGATAGGGGTCTGTCTCTCTCTGACCAGTGTCTGACAGTCCATGCCTTTGATTTCCCTGTGAACGGTTTGACTGTGAGTTTGTACTTGGCTCTCTTATCTCTACCATCAGCATGTTACCTCTGCTAATGGTAGTCTGTGCTTTGTCTGCTTGACGTGAACCTGGACTTGGTCTGCTGACTCTGCTACTGACTCAGTGTCTGTGGTAGGACTGGTTTCAGGGAAGTACTGGTGCTCCAGCATTGGTATAAGTGACAGGAGTAGTGCACCATTGATGGTATCAATTGATGGTATCTTTAGTGTTAGCAGGAGTAATAATGCTCTATATTTTATAATAGTGGATGGAATTATGCCCCATTGTTGATGTCAGTGGCAGGAACAGTACCCCAGTGATGGTACCAGTGGGAGGAAAAGTGCACCATCCTTAGTGTTAGTGGAAGTAATAGTGTCCTGTAGTTTATATCAGTGGGAGGAATTATGTCCCAATGTTGGTGTTAGTGGAAGGAATGGTGCCTCATATCAGTCGGAGGAATAGTGCCCCAAGGGCCAGATAAAGGCAATCAAAGAGCCACATCCAGCCCCCGGGCCCGCAGTTTGGTGACCACTGATCTAATGCGTCTGGCCTTGGCTTTTTGCCCCTGGCTGAGGGTCAAACTCTGTGCCATTACCTCTGGTCTTAACTAATCAACAACCTGTTAAAGTTGAGCACAAAAACTTTAGTTTTATATATACTGTGTGCCTAAATAGCCACAAAGGACATCAATCCACTTTCTGTGCACCAAATACTTTTTCAAACCAGGTATTGTCTTGTAAAAGTAGAAGTGCCATAATCACCGAGCTGGACATAACATGTGCACAGAACTATGAGAGCAACCCAACATGCATATCCACGACAGGTTGCCTGCAGAAAACCACAGGGGGGTGGATATAAGACCAGTCATTCTGCACAAGGAGAGAGAGCAGCAGTATCCAGTCTTTACTACAAAAACAATACCTGCACAGAGGCAAAGTGTTGGATGTGTTTCATGTTGAATTTCAGCATTAATCTGGAAGAAATAAAGTACACAAAGATTCAAGTAAGGGCTCATGTACACTGCAGCTGCTAAACTCACGTTTAGGAGCTGTTCAGCATTTTTTCAGCAGCCCCTGAACTCACCCTAATGTTTTCCTATGTGTCCATGTACACATCTTCGTTTACAGTCATTTACAGGCATTTGAATTTACAGTCGTTTTTATGAACGCACCAAACTTGCGTTCAGCAGTTGATTTTATAAGTGTTTCAAACACAAAATGCTTCTAAATGCGACAAATCGCGTTTATAAGCGTTTGCGTTTGAAATGTTTTTTTAACTCTTCCAGTTCCCAATGCTGTCCAGAGCCTTTTTTCATCATGAAAAATGCATGCAAAGCATTTTCAAGGTACTCAGATGGACAAAACACTGAACACAGGATGTTCCTTCCAAGCTTGTCACACATTGTAATGACCAATTCACACCTCAGACCTCTCCCACCCTTGGAAACAAAAGATATGGTAATGACCATTCACACCTCAAATTCCTCATGCAGACCCCCTGCCAGGTGGCCTTAATGACTCAATCAGCCACCTTTCCCACCCTTGAAAACAAAAGAAATGTTAATGAGCAAATCACACCTAGCTAATGTCAACACATACTGCTGTCTCTGCTTCTACTCTCCGGGGGCTGGATGCGGCCCTTTGCTCACTTTTATCTGGCCCTTGGGGCATTATTTCATCCACTGACACCAACAATGGGGCAAAATTCCTCCCAAGGAGTCCAAAGATTGAGCACAATTCCTCCCAATGACACCAACAATGGGGCACAATTCCTCTCAATGACACCAGCGTTGGGGCATAATTCCTTCTAATGACATCAAAGAGGGCACAATTCCTACCATTGACCCCAACAATGGGGCACAGTTCCTCCCAATGACACCAGCTTTGGGGCATAATTCCTCCTAATGACATCAAAAACAGGGCACAATTCCTACCAATGACACCAACAATGGGACACAATTCCTCTCGCAGACATCAAAGATGGGGCATTGTTTACTCCTACTGATTCTGGCACATTTTCTGTTCCTGATGGCCACGGTCTGACCCCTCCTAAGGTCGGAAGGACAGTAAACTGGCCCTTTGTTTAGAGAGTTTGGAGACTTCTGCTCTAATCCATTCACAGATACTGGAGTATGCAGATGTCTTCCCTATATGTGGACCTATAAATTAATTTTAGATAGTTCCAGGCACATAACATTATGCTGAGGTCTGCATTTGGTACATATTTGCAATAAGTTATCGGTCGATGTGAGCACTACCAGAATGTAAACCCCTTTATTCTGATCCTGTATTCACAGAAAATAAATATTTTACTAGTGGTTTACAATCCTCTTCCATTTGCTGTAACCCAAAGGGTTCCTATTTCATACGCTCTATGTAAAATTATTGATCATCTTAAATACACCATTACTAAATTCTGCTCAATATTATTTTTAGACTTTCTCACATGTTCGTTCCCGACATACCGGCTAATGTACTTGTCTAAAGAACTGCCAACATAAACAGACAATAGAGCACGTTGTTTAAATGGAGAAGGAATGTGACATGTCATGTCATGGCAAGCCATGTCTATGTGCTGTATGATTAAACAACTGGCTTGAGATAATATCCAGACTTGGCCACATGCTAGTTGTGTGATTAAATACTCAAGACTAATTCATCATGAATATTCTACCACCAAATCCTCTGTTGTGAAGGGGAGTAAGTATGTTGCTTTTAGCAAAAGTTCAGAACATTCCTGTCCTGTACAGTATAATTCCAGATTTTTATTAAATAATAAACAGTGTGTGAATACAAAGAGTCTGGATTCTTTAGTTTCAGATCAATGTCATGTTATCAAGGCCTCCCTGATTCTTCATGTAGTCCATTCCTAAGAGTCCCTGGGTGGCTATGCTCACTTCTCCACTGTATGCATAGAGTGAGCTATGGTTGCCTCCCAGGACTGGATTTTTAACATCTCCATTATATGGGGGTGATGAGATTAGTAGTTTAAAGAAGAAAGATGATTATTACCTCCTTGTCAGGAATGGACTTGCCAATGGTGGTGGGACTCACCTGCCTTGTGGGCTGCAGTACCAGGGCTGGCCAGCGGGTGCTCTCAGCAACCAGAAGCTCACTCCTGCAGTCGGCCATCACCTGAGGCTGATTGCAGGAGGTGTATTTAAGGAATGGCCAGACCTGCAGTCAGTGCCTTGGTGTATGTTTCCCATGAGCCCCTGTACCTGCATCCTGTCTGCTTCCTGCCTGATTCCTGATTTTGCTTGATTCTGACCCTGAATGAACTCCGCCTGTCCTGACTTCGGCTATTCCTGACCACTCTCCAGCCTGCTCCTTTGGTACCTTGTCCGCCTGATTGTTCCTGACCCGGCTCAATTGACTACGCTCTGCCTACTCCTTTGTGTCTTTTCTGCCCGATGATTCCTGACCCGGCCCGCCTGACTACTCCACCTCACCAGCCCTGACTGCTCTTATCTGTGTACATTCCGTTATCGGTTGGAGGTTTGGTTTTGTTATATTGTGCGTTATATTTGTGTATAACCTTTAATAAATTATATTGTTACACCATACTTGAGCCTGCGTTTCCCTGTGTCAGTTCACGCATCTCTGGTCTTACCGGGAGCCCTGACACTCCTATTCAGCTTACATGAATTCATATGGACCCACATTTCTGGCAATATTACAAGGTATTTCCTGTACTTGCTGAAAATATTCTTAGCCTGAAGAAAATAAAACCAATTCAGCCACCACATGTAAGGACTAGTAAGCTGCAGTGTATTAAATCTTTCAGTGAAGACAACTATCCAGGTGACAACTGTCCTAAGTAGGAATTGCTCCTCAATAGCTGTTCTGTCTCCAGGATAAGTAGTAAAGAAAAATTTCCCAATGGGACTCAAACAGCCAAAAAAAACCTGAGGTTCTAATCATTCCCTATTTTATCTAAAAGTTTACAAAAGGGTTTTGGCTTTAAATATACTTTAACCCCTTCTTGCTGGCTGTACGCATATATGCGGCCCCACTGGACTGGGCTTTTTTTCCCGTGGAGCTGCTAATTTGCATACCTGTCTTTGTGCTGGGAGCACGGAGCACACTCCCAGCACAAAGACCATGATCTCACTGAAAGCCCTGGGTCCTGTTCTAACGATTGGGACTTGGAACTCCCGATTCCTGGTCACCTGATCGCTGTGATAGCCTCTGATTGGCTATCACAGTGATCAGTCACAGTGAAGCCTGCCCCTGTGTTTTCTCTCTCTGAATGGAGGAGAGAGAAACATTGTATCTCTCTCTGTCCTTTCAGAGAGAAAACAAAAAACAAGTGTGTGTTAAAATAAATAAATAACAATAATAATAAAAAAATGTAACATGCAAAATATTTCAATTATATAAATTTAAAATATAAAATATTTAAATACCTAAATCAAGGTTTGATCTGGTCAGTGCCAGGGCTAGTGTTTGGGTCAAGGTTAGGGTCAGGGTCAGTATTCTTTTTTTTTTGGTCAGGATTTTTTTTTTAATTTTTAAATTAGTATCAGTGTCAGTTAGTGGCAGGATAAAAACAAAGCAAAATGTGCACTATTGTTTCTGGGCTGTAATATGGTACAAACAACAACTAACATACACATACACTATATGGTTAAAAATATTGCGACACCCCTCCAAATCATTGGATTCAGGTGTTCCAATCACCTCCATGGCCACATGTGTATAAAATTAAGCACCTAGGCATGCAGACTGCTTCTACAAACTTTTGTGAAAGAATGTGTCGCTCTCAGGAGCTCAGTGAATTCAAACGTGGGACCGTGATAGATTGCCACCTGTGCAATAAGTCCATCTGTGATATTTCCTTGCTACTAAATATTCCAGCTGTTAGTGGTGCTATAACAAAGTGGAAGCAACTGGGAACAACAGCAAAACAGCCACGAAGTGGTAGGCCACGTAAAATGACAAAGCGGTGTCAGCGCATGCTGAAGCGCACAGTTCGCACAAGTCGCCAATTGTCTGCAGAGTCAATAGCTAAAGACCTCAAAACATTGTGTGGCCTTCAGATTAGAACAACAATGGTGCGTAGAGAGCTTCATGGAATGGGTTTCCATGGCTGAGCAGTTGCATCCAAGCCTTACATTACCAAGTGCAATGCAGTGTTGGATGCAGTGGTGTAAAGCACACCGGCACGGGACTCTAGAGCAGTGGAGACATGTTCTCTGGAGTGACGAATCATGCATCTCTAGCAATCCGATGGACGTGTCTGGGTTTGGCAGTTGCCAGGAAAAAGTTACTTTCCTGACTGCATTGTGCCAAGTGTAAAGTTTGGTGGAGAGGGGATTATGGTGTGGGGTTGTTTTTCAGGGGTTGGGCTTGGCCCCTTAATTCCTGTGAAGGGAACTCTTAAGGCATCAGCATACCAAGACATTTTGGACAATTTCATGCTCCCAACTTTGTGGGAACAGTTTGGGGATGGCCCCTTCTTGTTCCAACATGACTGCACACCAGTGCACAAAGCAAGGTCCATAAAGACATGGATGAACAAGTTTAGGGTGGAGGAACTTGACTGGCCTGCAGAGAGTCCTGACCTCAACTTGATAGAACACCTTTGGGATGAATTAGAGCAGAGACTGCGAGCCAGGCCTTCTCGTCCGACATCAGTGCCTGACCTCACAAATGTGCTTCTTGAAGAATGGTCAAACATTCCCATAGACACACTCCTAAACCTTGTGGACAGCCTTCCCAGAAGAGTTGAAGCTCTTATAGCTGCAAAGGGTGGGCCAACTCAATATTGAACCCTACGGACTAAGACAGGGATGTCATTAAAGTTCATGTGCGTGTAAAGGCAGGCCGACCAATACTTTTGACAATATAGTGTATGTGGTATCACTGTGATTGCCAGAAGCAGGATAAATTATTTTGGGTTGTTCTTTGGTGGTAGGGTATGGTAGAAGAAATATATACTGTAAAAATGATTTTTTTTTTACTATTTTGGGCCAGTTTTTCTTTGATAATAAAAAAAATCAGGAGATATACATTAACATTTACCACCAAATGAAAGCCCAATTAATCCTGAAAAAAAAACAAGGTATAGTCCACCTGGATACATAAAGTAGTTGTGGTGATATGTTTGATTTTGCTAACACGTCATAGTTGCAATATTGTGCTTTGGTGATTTGTTTTACCCTTAAGTGCGAAGGGGTTAAAGTGGAACTTCAGCTAAAAATGTAAATTCTGCTTTTCCTCCTCCTCTTCCCTCTACCATTTTTGGATGTTTTCTTTTTTTTGTGGCAGGTCCCTGCTCCCACTTCTGCTCTGCTCGCCTAGATAAACCAAATGGAAGTTTGCACTCCCCCCCATCTGCAACCTCATGAAACATGTCCTTGGAGACTGTGGGTCCATTCAGAAAGCCCAGCACAAATTGTGCATGCGCAGTGAGGAGCCAGCTGTGAAGCTGCAGGAAGCCACAGTTGGCTTCCCACAAGCACGATGGTGGTTGGGGGACCCATAGACCAGCAAAGAACCGGCCCGGGTGATGACAACATTGGGTCACTGAACTGGTAAGTGTGGGTTTATTCAAATTCAGCAGCTACAGTATATGGAGCTATGAGCTCCTCTTTAAGGTTTCAAGCAATCTCACAGCCACGGCAATATCTAACAGTATCTCTCAGCCACCAAGGCAAGAAAGGGATGTGCTCAGGAGATGATATAAATAAAGCACTCAAGACTCAAAAAACTCAATCCCATTTTGTGCCTATTCCACCAGATTGGTGGGAGTTTCCTGGTCATTTTGACTCAGGCCTCTGTAAGCCAGCTTTTAAGGTCACCACCTGGTCCTCTTTTCATACTTTTTCAAAGTTCTATCAGGTGGATATCAAGTCTTTTGTGGTCTCTTTGACCCTTGCTGTTGTTGGGCCTGTTGCCACAGCTTGCCTTGCCTAGTTGTGGCCCACCGTTCTCATTCATTACTTGAGGATATTCCAGGGTCTATGAATACTTTGCTTGTCTCCTGTACTGTATGATTAAGATAAGAAGGATTTTCTCCTACCTGTAAATTCTATATCATGGAGTTCAGTTCAGAATACAGGCCACCCTCTCTTCCATTCCTTCATTACTCTGCATTGCTTGCTACAAATCTGAAGACTCAAGCAGTGGGGTGAGGGTTGTCAAGGTCCTATCTTTTCCCTGAGGTTATGTTACTCCATGTAAAACATAAGGAATGCTGCGCTACATTCAAATCAAATGTGAATGTGGGATCCCAAAATATCAAATCAAAGAGTGTGACAATATTAACAATATGAATCTATAAGTGCTTACTGATAATACCAAAAATCAAATAAATCACTCAAAAGATATAGAAACACAAAAAACTATATCTATAAGTTTGTGCATGAATACACATACATATAATTAAATCACACGTGCTGTGAAGTGAAAAAATAACCATAATATTGGTACACGCAAACTTATATCTCAAAGTCCAAAAAATAAATAAATATTGTAGGTGAACAAAACAGTAAACGGTGCTTCCAAATTATACTGTTAGTGACCACAAGATATGTTTCTCCAACCATTGGTGAGAGAAACTAAGTCGTATCTGAGAGATACCAAGCACCTAATACAAATGTTAGACAAAGTAGATGGTAATGATGTGATCTTAGCAACAGCTGACGTCTCATCGTTATATACAATTATTGGCCACACAGAAGGTGTGGAAGCTACTGAATGGGGCTTAAGAGAATATGGAAATCTGAAAAGAGGGCAGAGAAAATATATTTTGGATTGTTTGGAATTTTGCTTAAAACATAATTACTTTTGGCATATGAATGTGTTTTATAATCAAATTAAGGGTGTAGCCATGGGAGCCCGTTTTGCTCCCAGTGTGGCAAACATTTTTATGGCACATTGGGAAGAGATGGCAGTATATTTGAGTCCCCCGAAAGAATTAATATTGTTTAAAAGATATATAGATGATATTATAGTATTATGGAAAGGAAGAGAAGAGGATTTATTATGTTTCTGTGACAATCTGAATAGAAATAGTAAAAACATTGTTCTTACTTGGGAACATAGTCGTGAGCGGATTCGTTTCCTAGATTTAGATATTAATATCATACAGGATAAAATTATCACAAAGACATTCTTTAAGAGTGTCGACAGGAATGGTTATATTCCTCAAGACAGTTGCCACTTCCCGCCGTGGTTATTAAATATACCAAAAGGTCAAATGATCAGACTCAGAAGGAATTGCACGATGCAGGAGGATTTTTTAAGTCAAGCAAAAAACTTAGGCCAGAGGTTTGAAGCCAAAGGTTATCAGCAAAACTTAATTAGCAAAACGATCCAGGAAGTTGGGAATACAAAAAGAGATTTACTGTTGGTAGATCGAGAGAAAAATGAGGAACAGAAAGACCAACTTGTGATGTGCCTAGATTTCAATGTCCATTATAAAAAAGTGGAAACTATCTTTAGAAGATATTGGCCACTATTGAAAGCTGATCCGCCCTGAAAGAGATAATATCAGAATTCCCCAAGTTTAGATATAGAAAAGCCCCAACACTAAGAGATAAAATTGTTAAAAATGTTCTTGATCCACCTACTAAAAAGAATGTCACTTTTTTTGGATATAAATGGGTTCTTTCCATGCAGGACATGTTATGCGTGCAAATCCGCAAAAGGAAGGAATAAGAAATTGATGAATTTTTCTTCATCTGTGAGTAAGAAAGAATTTAAGATTGAAGAATTTATCACTTGTAGGACAGAGGGAGTTGTGTACGCGCTGCAATGCAGTTGCGGAATGCAATATATAGGGAGAACCAAACGACCTCTTTGGGTCAGGCTCCGGGAACATGTGCAAAATATAAAGAAGGGGTTCCCGAAGCATAGCGTCTCTAAGCATTTCGCCAAATTTCATAATAAAGACCCTAGTGAATTAAAATTTTGGGGTATCACGAAATATAAGAGATATTGGCGAGGCAGCCATAAGGTGCGCACTTTGAGCCAATTAGAGCCAAGTGGATTTATAGTATGCACACTTATTTCCCTAATGGTTTGAACATTGAGTTTGATTTAAATTGCTTTATTTCTGATTTTTGAGGTTGTTTAAAATGGTGCTATAGATATATATATTTTATACATTGATTATGTAAACTCATGCTTTCGGATAGATTATATGTGTGTGAGTTTTTTTCGGAGTAGGTCTTTTATGCGCTGGTGAAGGGTGGGGATATTATTAATATTTTAAATAAAAGATTTTTCTTATAAAAATAAAAATATTAATTCTCATTAATTAATACTAATTTTAAATTATATTTTTTAAATTATTTTATTGATTTTAAAATTTATATATAATTATTTGTGATTAGATTGAGGTTTGAATTGTATATATACGTATGCGTCATTATGTGCAGGGGTATATATATATTTCCGTGTAATTGTATAAAATTAATTGGCTGTATTTTTGGTATATATAATTAGAGATTACATGCGTTACTAGCGTGTAATTAGGTGAGAGATGGTCTATTTTATCTATTTTAATAAATAATATATTCTTCTTTTTTAACATTTAATTAAAATGGGAATGTGTATAAAGTTATTTTGCCGCTTTTTGATTAATAGATATACTAATTGCAGGTGGTGCATCATTATACAGTCCTCGGACGTTTTCTGTGTAGATGCGCCTACTGCAGCTATTAGTTTATGTATTTTTAGCTTAGTAGTCCCCAGTGGTCTTCAGTGTAATGGCCGCAGGAAGTATTGATGAGATTAGGCTGAAGAAAACACCTCCTATGTGGGTGGCTCCCTCTATTTAGCTGGGTATAAAAGAGTGACCGTCACTGTGATTGACAGCCCTGATGAAGTCACATGACATTGTGACGTAACGCGTCGGCGTAGCGCGGTGACGTATTTCCGGCGTGGCGGCCATCTTGGTACACCTGTGCATCCAGCTGTACACCCAACAGACATATCCTCATCTGAAAGCATGAGGCTTTAGTGTGGACTGGCTGCTACGTGAGTTCCTATTCAATATTTGTTACATGTTCCTATGGTATAATAAATATACTACACTATGGGAGGATTCCTTTGTCTCATTCTGAGAGATTGATATTTCAACTTTTCCTGGAGAAGAGCCTGAGTGGGAATATTATACCCTGAGAGCGGTCTTGGAGTGCTTTGGTGCCTGGAGGATCTGTGAGAGGGATCCACTACTGCTCTTTGACCCGCAAGGGTCGAAGGGATGAGGTGAGAGGCTAATCCAGAAGGTGGTTGGATTCGTAGATCTATATACACCCAGAAACCTGCACGGTTTTTTTCACTTGTGGTCACT